CATCATATTTCTAATCCATTGAGTATGGGTGGGTGGGAAGGGATCTTTCCATTTTAATAGTATTGCTCTACGTGCCAACAAGGAGGAGAAAGCAAGGACTTTACACATAGATGCTGACAGCCATGACTCCTCTGGAGCTACTCCAAATAATGCCACCAGAGGTTCTGGCTGTAAACTGTGCTTAAGAACCTCTGAAAGGGTGTGAAATATCGATTGCCAGAAACGCTCTAAGTTAGGGCATGTCCAGAACATGTGAATTAGTGATCCCTCCTCACATTTAGGATGTTAACTTTTAAACAGATCCTCACACAGTTTTGTCCCGAGGACTGGTTTCTGACAGTGGATCTGAAAGATACATACTTTCACATCCACATAACCCCCCGCCACAGACCGTTCTTGAGATTTGTGTTCGAGGGAGTGGCCTATCAGTACACAGTCCTACCATTTGGACTGTCACTGGCCCCTCGCACTTTTATGAAGTGCATCAACACAGCTCTTTCCCCTCTGAGACACATGGGAATCCTCATCCTCAATTACCTTGATGATCAGAACAGGAACTTATCGCCGACAGATTGATACTGCTCAGCCATCTGGAGTACCTTGGGTTGAAAATCAACCTGCACAAGAGTCATTTGTCTCCCAGACAGCGAGCGGTCTTTCTGGGGACTGTGATAGACACCTGGTGCCTGGGCCGGTTTTATGTTAGGGTGACCCTTCACTGTATCAAAGCTGTGGCCCCTTGGACAACTTCTCTCCTGTTCCAACTGGGTATGCAGTTGGGACTGTCCTCCAGGAGGAAGGTAGTGATGACAGACACCTCCAACGTGTGTTGGGGCGTCCTGTTAGAGTTCTATCCAGCGTTCAGCTCCTGGTCGATCCACTTTCCCTTTACAGGATTGCTCGACACCTCCTACATTGGGTACAGAGCAAACTCCTCTCAATCAAAGCGGTTCATGTGCTGGGCAGTCTGAACCTTGGCGCAGACATGCTGTCCAGAGGCAATGTAGCTCCAGGAGAATGGACACTACATCCTCAGAGGGTTCAGGAAATCTGGTCTGTCTTCGGGAGGGCAGAGGTTGACCTTTTCACCTCAGAAGACAACCCTCACTGCTCGACTTATTTCTCCATGTAGCGAGATGCGCTGGCCCACGATTGGCCCAGATCTCGCCTGTACGCCTTCCCCCCGATTGCCCTGCTTCCTCAGGTCATCCGATGGTTTAGGGAAGTCGGGTTGCTCAGTCCTCCTTGTGGCCCCACCCTGGAAGTTCCCCCGAGTTAGTGCAGCTGTCAGCAGCTACCCTGTGGCCGATACCAATATGGAGAGACCTTCTCTCGCAGGTGAAGGGCATGATTTGGCACCCCCCGCCGGAGCTGTGGAGCCTTCATGTCTGGAGCCTCAACGGGAGTCTATACAACTCCCGGCAAGACTGAGCGACACCATTTTAGAGACTAGAGCACCGTCTACGAGATGCCTTTACGTTCTTAAGTGGTCAGTCTTCTGTGACTGGTGTGCAGCACGAAGCCTGGACCTGGTTTCTTGTGACGTATCCCAAGTGCTGACTTTTTTGCAAGAGTTGCTTGACAACGGGCGCGCCCCTTCCACACTTAAAGTTTATGTGGCAGCTGTCGCAGCGACTCATTCCCTCGAAGCTGGCCAATCTATCGGCAGAAACGATTTGGTCGTTAAGTTCTTGAAGGGCGCCCGGAGATTGAATCCTCCTCATCCTCAGACAGTGCCAACCTGGGACTTTTCCATAGTCCTGAGGGCCCTCCCTTTGAGCTGCTCCATTCGGCCGATCTGCGGCCCATGTCACTTAAGACCACCCTCCTTTTGGCATTAACGTCGGTCAAGCGAGTGCTTGACTTGCAGGCACTGTCAATCAATGCTTCCTGTCTGGAATTTGGGCCTAACAACTGTAAGGTCTCCCTCAAACCAAGACAAGGTTATGTTCCTAAGGTGCTCTCGTTTAGAGCCCAGGTTATAACCCTTCTAGCACTCCCTGTTGCAGAGTGTGAGCAGGGTCCCAATCCACTCTGCCAGGTCAGGGCTCTTAGACTGTATGTTGAACGCTCTGGTCTTTTCAGACAGTCAGAGCAGCAATTTGTTCGCTTCGGAGGCCGCAATAAAGGGCTGCCTGTTATGAAGCAGAGATTTTCCTGCTGGATAGTAGATGCTATAGCCTTGGCTTATGCCTCAGAAGGCTTGCAATGCCCTATCGGGTTGAGGGCCCACTCCACCAGAGGAATGGCCTCCTCCTGGGCGTGGTCCAGCAGAATTTCTATAAGTGAGATTTGTGTGGCTGCCGGCTGGTCGTCGCTTTCCACATTTACCAGATTCTATCATTTAGATGTCCCTGCCCCACAGGCACGGATTTTGTCTATTTAATCAGCCTATTTCTCCCCTAGGGTGGAAATGGTTATATCTGTAGTCCTTAGCTGGGCTTGGGACTCAGTTTGACTTATGATTGTGCGGCCGCCAGCTGGTCGTCGCCGTCCTCTTTGATAGATTCTATATTTAGACGTCCCTAAATATAGACGCTTTTGATTTGTCTGTTTTATCTACCTATTTCTCCCTTAGGGTGGAAATAGCTATATCTGCAGTTCTCAGCGGTGCTAGTTGGGACTCACTTTGGTTTGTGCAGCTACACAAACGTGAACAAATCAGGCTTCAATACCAGTGTAAACAGGAGTTTCCCTATACACAACGCTCGTTCCCTTATCTCAGGGAACCAAGGTTACGTCAGCAACCGGAGTGTTCTACACACATACTGAAGCACGCGTGGCGCTCATGGTGTTTCCTGCTTCTGCCGTCTCGCTATATGAAGATATAAACACATGAACTTAGAACTGCTCTGAGAGTCTTCACGACAACCCATCAAAATAAGTCTGGTTTAACCTAAAGAAATTTTGACAGAAACATATTACTATTGTACAATAGAATGTATGTCTCAAAGTAATAATAATAATAATAATAATAATAATAATATTTCTATAGGAATAATCACACAATTTTTGTTGTTGTGCAGCACTTTGTTGGCTAACAATGAAAGTAATAGTTACATTTGAATTTGATTATATTTTGAAATTGAATGTTAAAACACGTATTCCAGAGAAATTAAACCGGAAGTTTCAACGCCATCTGAGAGTTTTTATTTTTTTAATTTTTTTTATTATGCTTCCATTTACAACAAACAAACAAGGTACATAAACACATCACATAATCTAACAACACGTGAACAGCCTTAGGTTGAGCATAACCAGTGATAAACAAGATCACAATAAGCCAATAATAAAGAAGAAAATAAAATAAAATAAATAAATAGAACAAATAAAACAAACAAACCAAAAGGGGCTTTTTACATTAGTTTATACATGCCCCAAATCATCTGAGAGTACAAACTGCAGTATGCTTAACCACGGTGACGTGAATGTGCGAGGCTTCCGGTGCCAGCCTCTTCCGCTTGTTTTCGCTGTACTGGTATTGCTTACCATATTATTTTAATTCATTGTTATAGTCATAAACATTTGTTGGTTTGTGACGCAAATAGTTTACTGCACTGAAATGACTGATCGTGTGCCTCGTCTTATCTGTCGGCGCGTTATCTGTGTCTTTCCCTTTTTTCTTTTCTTTTTTTTTGAATGGACGTATGAGTCTCGTATGAGTATGAGTCTCACGCTGAATACATAAAAAAGCTGTCGTCCTTGTTCCAAGTTGCATAATAATGTATCCCAAATAAAGGTAATAGGAGAATACAAATACTGAATAGCTTGTAACTTCTGTAGATACTGAAACATTTTAAACCACTAAAAAACTAAATTATATAATGTACATAAAAAGATAATGTACTTTGAGACTCCACTTTAATTTTGACTCTTTGGAGTGGGACAGCAATAAAACTATATTAAAAAATCTCCTAAAACAGTTTTTTGTAAAGTTAACTTTAAGACAACCATAAAGAAACACCACTTTTGCAACAAGACTAAACCAGGGTTTCTAGCCAATGTGTTTTTTCAAACAATGGTGAGACTCCCCCTAGTGGTGCTGCGTTTTAACAAGAAAGGAAATCAGACTGTTCTCACAATCCTACAAGCCTTTATTAATGACATTGCATGCAATAAAAGTACAAAATCAACAAATAAAAACAAACATGTTTCACAAGACAACTGTCTGATTTTGTAACATATTGCATATGCAGAAGTATCTGAAATAAAATAAGCATGTTTATAATTCCTTTTCCAAAATGAAACTTTCCTTCCTTGATAATAACAAGTTTGCTAAATCAAAGCAAGGCTCTTCATGCAGCTGTTATAATAACTTTATGAAATATTTTCTGTCACCTGTTCTTTTAAAGCTGTCAATCCTAAAGCCTTGGATCTTGCTTTAATGTAGCATAACTTGAGCACAGATCCATTACAATAAATCGCACAAATATCCTTTTAAAACCATTGCTGCCTTTTTAATCCTCTTTCTCACACCAAATGCACCTCTGTACATGTTTGTTTTAAAATGAAATGTAGCTCATTTAAACTTTGTATATAAGTATATAAGTTATTATATATTAAAATATTTTTTTGGTTGCAATATTTGCATTTCAAATGACAATCATGTTATCTGCAATGCTGACAAAGCTTTTTAATTTAAAAAGTCAGATAGTAATAATATGGATCCCCAGTTCCCACCTCCACCAGTGCTGTTGTATCGGTCCTACACAAAAAGAGCTCTGGGATCACGGAAAGTTAACGCAGCATCCTGAGTTTGCGGTAAAATGATACGGCCATGAGGGCAGCAACGGTGCCCACAATGACGAGGACGGCCAGAGCGATGCCCAGTCCTACAGATGCCCCATTACCACTGTCCTTCTGTGCACTGCTCAGGGCTGTACAGGAATACAAGAGACAGCATGTTATTACCAAAATGACCTGTTTTCTGGCATCCTTCTGTAAATGAAATACATTGATGAGAGAGGCTTACCTTCTTCCTTGGTGGTAAGAGCTGAAAGAAAGAACAGTTTGCAGTTATTATTATGTAGCTACATTTATGTGTCTTGAAATAACTTGGACTATATCAAATGCTTTTATCCACGACTATCATATTTTATGACAAGGATAGTGAGGTAGAGGAGAGCCATACAGGAGTCTGCTTGAGTCCTAATAGGTCCTGAGGTGATGAGGGTGGTGTCTGAGACGCCATCTTTAATTGTCGTTGTCTGTATGTCCCGTCTCCTCCTCCTGTTGCATTGCTGATCAATGAAAATGGATGAGGGTTAAACAATAAAGCAGGACACATTTATCTGATCATTCAGTTAATACCCCAATAGTTGTAGTCTTATAGGCCAGTTTGAAGAACATGTGGTACCTTGAACTGGGTGCAGGTGCTGGTTTCACAAAGTCTGGTGATGCAGTGGAGGTAGTAGGTGGAAATGGTCTGGTTCTGCTGCTCGATAAAGCGGAAGGCTGGGAAGCTAAAGCGAGCCTTCTGACTGTTTCCATTCTCCAACATGGTGGTCATCTGATCCTGCGAGCACCTTTTAGAAAAACAGAACATTTCAAGTATGTTACAGAACTAGTTGACCAATGAATTTCCATGGCTTTGTGGCTTTGTTTCTGACTCTAACCCAACCATTTCTAATTGATGAAATATTATTTAAATTAATTATTTGTTTTATTTTCATTCAATTTTATTTGTATTTATATCATTTTGCATGAATATAGAATATATAAAATATTAAATAAATTAGACAACCAATGAATTTCCATAGCTTTGCTCATGAGTATTTAAAAGAATTTTATAGAGACCAAAACAACAATTTAAATTGATGAAATATTCTTTAAAATAATAATTTTTTGTTAATATTTATTATAAATATAGGATATATAAAATACGTTTTTAAAAACAATCTTGTAGAGACTCAAAAAACATTTCTTATTCTGATATATTCTTAATATTTGTATTCTATTAAATGCATTATATATATAATATAACTATAAATATAAATGTAATATAAATATATAAGTATAATATATAAGAAATAAGTAAAATATAAAATAAATGATATTATACTATAAATGTTATTTTTAACATAACATTTCCCTGACATTTCAAAACGTCCCTTTTTTGAGACTTACGGGACAAATAGGTTGAAAAAGGTTGAATTGGAGGGTAAGGCTGAGATAGAGGCATAGCAACGATCCAGCAGAACATGATACCTGTGGAGGAGGAGGACAGAATCAGTCGATTTCTACATTAACTAATGGAGGCATATCTTAGAAGAAACATCAGCAAATGTTCCTCACTGTGAAGTCAAGTTTGCTGCAATGACTTGCACGTAGATTCTGGTTCTGAGCTCAACACCAAGAGCAGGGATAACGAGTGGAGTTGTGTAGTTTACATCCTAGAGACACAATTAAAGTATGAAGTTATGGACACACTATGACATAGCATAGAAAAAGCTATAGATTTTGGAAACGTTTTCCCCCATTGTGTATTTACTTTGAAGAGCTGCATGCTTAAAGTGCTGATGAAGCTACCATTGTTGTCAATCACTGCAATGGAGGAGGATGACCTGAAGAGGGAGGTAAAGTTTAGAGATTACAAGTGATGTATAGCTAGAGCCCATGAAAATAATTATTCACTACTCAGTTAAGAATGTCAACAAGCTGCATGTTTAATACTGTACAAACTACTGTTTTGTTAATTTTTTAAAAGTCTCTTATGCTCACCAAAGCTGCATCTATCCGATAAAAAATACAGTAAAACAGTGACATTTTGAAACATTATTGCAATTTAAAATGATAATTTTCTAATTTAATATATTTTAAAATGTAATTTATTCCTTTGTTGACAAAGCTGAATTTTCAGCATCATTACTCCAGTCTTCAGTGTCACGTGATCCTTCAGAAATCATTCTAATACACTGATTTGGTGCTCAATAAACGTTTATTATTACCAATGAAAACAGTTTAAACAGTTTAATATTTTTGTGGAAATCGTGATACATTTTTTCATTAAGGATTCTTTGATGACTAGAAAGTTCAAAAGAAAAGCATTTATTTGAAATAGAAATCTTTTATAACAGTTTAAATGTCTTTACACTCACTTTTGACCAATTTAATGCATCCTCCTTGATTGAAAACAGTAAGCCAGAACGTGGGCCAGTCCCAAAGTTCACTAAAACTCTGACTAGACAGGGAGACTAGCTAAGACTAGCTTAGGCTGGTTTAAGATCTTTTTATTGTTATTATTTCAGCAGAATTACTTTATTAAGAGAGTTAAAGGAGCTTACACATCAACTTGTGTATTGTTGACCAGGTACTCGAGTGGATATGCACAGGAGTAAAAATAACTCAGCTCGGCGTTGTAGGTCACTGTTCCTATTGTGGGGTCGAAAGATCTGACCACCCCACTGATGTTAACCGTCTGGATGTTAGAGAAGTCCGAGAAGATCCCGGTCCCTGGAGCGCTGGTGGTCTACAAATGAAGACAATTAAATTAATCAGACTTGCAAAGCGAGATATCAAAATACAGAGAAAATGGAGAGAACTAATTCTCTTTATCTATATTGACACGTTGTTGTCAGTGTGCATGTATGAGTAACACTGACCCTTATTGGTAACCTCGCTAGTTTGCTGGCTTTGGGCACTTTTCAACTCGCCAGAAAGCGAGATCAGTTTGCTTAAGGTGTTTTTAAGTAGCCTAGAGAATACTTCATCAGTGTAAATATAGTTTAGAAGATGCAGTAGGCTAGTACTCACGCGGAAGATGCTGCCGCAGGAGTCTAATTGTCTCAGAGGGAAGTTGAAGCGCACGACCGGAGGATTCGCGGTCGCATCCAGTGTTCCCCGACACGACGGATCATTTGCGACTTGATTGAGAATCAACAAACTCGCGTTATATCCAGTGTAAATGACCGGGCAGACCTGGATGGCCAAATTGATAGACTCGGTCCCGCAATACACTGCGATGTCGGTGTACGCTGTAAGACAAAAACAAGACCCCTGATGTCTTTCCTATAAAATTGATTAATTGTTTTGGTTTTAAAAGCAGTTACAATAATTATTGTAGACAAAATCATGCATGACAATAGGCCTACCTGGACGCCTGTAGGAACTCCCACAGTCATTAGGAGTAAGAGCCAGGTGGCCATTAACCAGCACACCCACAATCAAGAGACTGAGTAGAACCATGTCAGTTATCTGCTCTTCATCAATGTCCAAAAATGACCATTAAACGACTCTCGGCACCCTAGAGAAAATCTCGAAGAGCTTCTGAAGGTATCCTTGCTGTTAAAGATCCTTTATCTCCTCAAAGTCACTGTTGGATTAACTCTGACAGGCTTCAGTCTCTTATTTATATATGTATGTGTATAGGAGAAGTTAGTTAGATTACTACTGCAGGATTGGGCCAAAACAAGGTCATTTGCCATTTGGTATGGTTGCTTGAGTTCTCAAGAACAATTCACTTTTGTGGATAAGGTACCATTACCTTGAGGCAAACCTTGAAACCTTACACATCACCTTTAAAGTTAGACCATAAACAATGACCACTGTCTTTGTCATCTTATACATCCTGAAACATATTAACATGTAATTTAATAAACTAAGTACAAACTCTATTGAAGAAGTACACAATATGTGGGAGGTCCCGTCTTCTCTTTGGACCTAAAAGTACAAGTCAGTCTGACCTCTGACCTTGGATGCCTTTTAGGAGGTTAGCTACCTTAAAAGCTTGATGGTCACTGCATGAAATCTCACATGTAGTGATGGTTTGTACACACCTGGTTGGTGGTTGTGATAATGATTGTAAAATGGATATGCTGAAGGGATTCATTGTAGAACACAAAAGAAGATATTTTGAAAAATGTCTCAGTGTTTTTTGTCCATATTTTGAAAGGCAATGGCATCCAAAACAACACTGGACTTCACTGACTTTCATTATATGTTCAAAAACAGTTGAAACGTTAGACTGTTTCAAAGAAGCAAGTAAGTCATTTAAGTTTGGAATGACATGAGGGTGAGTAAATTATGGCAAATTGTTCATTTTTGGGTCAACTATCCATTTGAGAGTAAGCCGCAATTTAGTAATTTTGAAGCTTTTCGAATAGTAAAGTTTCCATAAAAATGCTAGAGTTTTGAATTCTTCCTGTGCTTCTTACAGCATATCAACAGCTAATGAGGTGAAATCTGTGAAAATGAGGTACAAATTCACAGAAAATACCAATGGAATTGTAATAGGAACCTGTCAGCTGAGCTACCTGGGAAGGACAACACTTTCTAATTAGGGTCAAATCAGGGTGTTGGGTGTTGGCCTTCTTCTATTGTCAAAAACATAAAACCATGGAAATATTACAGAACTCATCATAATATGATGCCAGCCATGACGTATTCAGTTAAATATCTTAGCAAAACAATACTGTGGACTTCACACATGCATAAGATCAAAGACCTCAGCGAACATAAGAAATGAGAGGGAGATAAACAAGCACTGCATCAGATTTTTGTAGTTTTTGACTCGCTGCAGGCCCTGCAGTAATCTGGGATTATGTAGAGAAAGGATGCAGATTGTGGAGATCTACAGTGGTGTGTGAGATTTAAATGGGTGGTTTGTGTCTGTGTTGTATTTTCAATGTCATTTCTTGTGGCCGAATAAAAAAGATTGTTAGAGTGTGATTTTAAGTATGGTATATGTTGAAAATTATATATAAAACTGATACAAACGCAGACAAATGAACAAAAAGTAGTGAAATGAGACATTGATTTGGATTAATTTTTATAATAAAACATATTAAAATTGTCCATTATGTGCAGCTGACAAATCTGTTTGGGAAAAACATCAGGTTGCACATATTTACAATTTTAATAAAAAAAAAAAGTTATAATGGCACATCAATTTAATAACACTACATATGTACATCTAAAAATATTTTATGTTTTATTTATATTTAAAACTATATCATGCAAATTAAAAACAAATTGTCCAGGTTAACAGCATCTGTGGCATGCTGTTTATTACCATTGAAAATAATTGTGATTTGCCCCTACGTTTGCAAAACTGAACAAAAATATATTACAAATCAATGTTAATTGGGCGGTATTTTCTGTGGTATTCCAATCTAATCTGTTGCTGTCAACTAATATTTAATTTGAAAGACCTCGGTTTCATTTTTCTTTTGTTTATTCATCGCTTATTCTACTCATTGCACATATACATACACACAGTTTAAAAGATCAACAATAATTCATCAAGCAAATAATCTGCAATCTATATGTGAACAATCTACATTTGTTTTGTGCTCTGCACTTCAAGGCATAAAGGATCACAGACCCTGAAACGGATAGTAACAAACTGAGGTATTTTCAAAGGGACTATTAGATTCATATAAGTTAAAATGGGAAAACTTGTTTGACAAAGCCGCCCAATGCCAATGTTGTGACATGCGAGAGCAGTGAACAAATATTGTGACGTATTTCAATGCACTCTGGATTTGGACGTCATGGTCATCTGAAGCTGGGGTTCCAGACCCCTGTCAGACATAGAAGGGCTGGGCTTCCTGAGCAGCCTGAGGGAGAGGATGAAGAGGCCCAGGCACGTCACACCTAACACAACCACACCCGATATCAAGGCACTGGTTACAGCATTCAGATGCTGGGAGGATCCGCTCACTGCAGGGGCACAGAGAGGGGTGAGTGGGGGTCAGCAGAGGACTGTGGGGGTGAATGGGGTTGGGTGGGATGGGGGCAAAATCAGACAAGATAGTTCTGTAAATGGGTACCACAGTTGTCATGGATCTCATTTGCAGAACTTGACACTGGTGTCCATTGTTTCACTGTGAAAACAGAGCTGATGTCTCACAGAAAGGACACAGCGGGGTGGGGTTGGGACATTTGGGGGGTCTACTAATGAAAAACATTTAGCAGGCTACTTAATCTTACCACGTTGTGAGTTGTTGGTTGGAGATTCATCTGCAGAAAACAAGCAAGATGTATATGTTTTTAGAAGTTTTTGTGGTAAATACAGCGTAAATGGTTTCATGATTTAATACTTTCTAGCTTGAACTACAATTACATCTCAAGCATTAAATTGAAAACATTAAGCAAATTCTACATTTGTACTCAATTCAAACGTATGTACAAATGTCCAAAAGATCAAATATCTAAAAAATAAAAGTCACTTTCAAAGGTATAACAAATACATAAAATCTCCTTAACATTACAGTGCTGCTGTTCCCAGCATCTGGGGCATGAATAATTAATAAGTTTGCCTTGTTTTACTGTTTGCTTTTGCACCATGTTGTTATTGATTTTGTTGTCATGTTTAGAAAAACTATCCATTGATTGTTATCATTATCATGTACCAAATGTTGAGGTCTGTGAGATTGGCTACAACTCGTTTCTTAAAATATATATTAAAAATAAATGCTGTTCTTTTGAACTTTCTATTGTATCATGGTTTCCACAACAATATTAAGCAGCACAACTGTTTTCAACATTGATAAGAAATGTTTCTTCAGCAGCAAATCAGCATATTAGAATGATTTCTGAAGGATCATTTACTTTTGTACCATTATTAAATAAAAAAAACAAAAAAAAACTGTGCAACAACTTTTGAAGGAAATTAAATTGAATTTGTCATTTTTTTCAGTGCATTTAATGGACTATAAAGCTGAGGATGGCTCTCACCACTCCTAGTGATTATGGGCCCTGCGGTTATGACGGCATCCCCTGAGGATGAACCTGATACGACATGTTCATCCACAGTGTCTCTCCTCCTGCGTTTTCCACAGATCTGCCATGAGAGATATTACAGTCAGCGCTCTCGTTCAGTTAGTACATGTAAAATATATTAATAACCATAAAATATTTCAGCATTATGACGTTTTACCGGAATTAGTATTGCGCAGTCATCTACTCGACACAGCTTTGTGATACAGTGCAGAAACACGGTGGACATCTTCTGGTTCTTATGTTTCACAAAACGGAAAACTTCAAACGCAAAGCGGCCCATTTGACTTTTTCCGTTCTCAAATACAGTTGTCTGCGGATCCTTGTAGCACCTATTTAAACCCCCACAAAAGTAAAGCCTCTTTAAATCTGCTGAAATCTACAGATAAATTGATTATCTTCAGTCACACACAAACTTGAATGCAACCGTGCACGCACACACAAATGATGTTTTCTAAAAGGCCTTTGTGCATTGTATAGTTGAGCAGGTAATGAGGACTCACCGAGTTAGTGCGCACATAATTTCAGAAAATACTAAATTACCCAAAGAAAAGGTCATAGCGTATCCCATCATTAGGGTTCCCAGAGGGGGTGGTGTAACAGTGATCCATCAGAACATTCCACCTGTGGGAAAAACACAGTCATTTCTGCTATTAATGGGAATCAAATCTCTAATCGCAAGTAAAAAAATTAAAATAAAAATAGCTAATAGGGGCTCAAGATCTAAGTGTTTACCCAAGTAGAGGAATATTTCTCATAATTGATATTATTTATACTAGTAATTTGTCACAATTTATAATAGTAATCTGCCTTCACAAAAGATAGCTAAAACATTATGATGTAAAATACTTTTACAGAAAAATAAATGAAGTGTTTCAATAATGAGTTTATAAGATATAAAAGCATAAATTTCTCTGTACGATATACCTCCTGTCCAGATTTGTAGCCTTGACTGCAGCAAACACACGAGTCTTCAAGGACAGGCCGGACATTGGTATAGAGATCAGCTGACTGAAGGTTGAGTCCTGTCAAATATGAGACAAAGAAAATTAGCTACTGTAATGGTGCTCTAAGCCAGTCTTCATTGCAACATGCCGTTTTTACATTTTAATACAAGTTTGAGAACTGTACACATTTTTGTACACATAAACAATATGAAATTGATAATAGGTCCTAAGGAGAAATAATTTATAATTAAAATAAATCAATAAGTCAAATTTAATTTGTAATTCTAAATTAATTCATGAACTAAGTTACTTCATTTTTTTTTATAAATTTGTATTTTAATTGCATTTTATTTTATGAACTACAGAGATCACTCACATTGTAAAGCACCAAACTGAGAGTGCTCAGGAAAGTGCCATTATTGTCTTTCACTGATATTGCAGCAGACGAGCTGGTAAAGGAGGTTGAGATTAAAACAAGACATTATGGCTGTTTATTCACAGCTGAACATATCAGCAAAGCATTGATTGTTCTGATAAATGCAGCACAGTTCTTTGACTAAAATAGTTGTAGAAGTAGGTTGTTACGTCAGAAAACAGACTCACGATGCCAGCTGGCCGTTGTTGAGCAGGTACTCCAGAGG